CCACCTATATTTTAATCTTGTCAATAAAAAATAAATAACAAATATGCACATTTTGATTATATTACATATGTTACCCTTTGTCCTAATTCCACCACAACTTTTTTCTCACATCTCATTTTCCATCTTTAACCTCCATTTCATATCTCTATATATATAGCTAACATATATGATAACAATCACACACACATATATATATATATAGAGAGAGAGAGAGAGATTAAGCAAAAAATCAAGAGAGAGAGAAAATGGAATTAGCAGGTTCAGATCATGTGATTATGTTCATGGGTGATAATAATGATCACAGCAATACTAATCACTCCATTAACCTATCATCAACAGAAACAAACCCCCCTGCTACAAATCTCCAAACCCTACGCCGCGTCAGTTTCTCGAAACCCAAAGCCCGTTTTGCCGAGCCCGCAACAAACCCAAAGCACAACAACGTCGAAGAAATAATCGAACCCCTCAAACGAACCAAGACCTTCCACAACGACAGCGACGAAGAATTCAGCGACGAATTCAGCAGCGACGAAGACGAAGAAGAAGAGGAGTATGACGAGTACGACGAAGAAGGATACCGAAAGGAGAGGCGGGCCCGCAAGAAGAATCGATTCAAAATCAGGTGGCGGATACTCATCGAGTGGGTGCTCTTCGTCGTCATGACGACCAGCTTGATATGTTCACTGACGGTCGACTCGTTCAAGAACCGGCTCAAGTACGGGCTCGAGCCGTGGCGGTGGTTCTTGATGGTCCTCGTCATGTTTAGCGGCCGACTCGTCTCGGAGTGGATCATACGAATCATCGTATTTTTCATCGAGAGGAACTTCATGCTGAGGGAGAAGGTTCTTTATTTCGTCTACGGATTGCGTAAGAGCATCCAAAACTGCGTTTGGTTAGGGCTCGTCCTCGTATCGTGGACCTTCATATTCAACGCGAAGCTTCACGAGCAGAACAAACTGCTCGGGAAAGTCTTTCAGGTATATACATATATATATATATTTTATTTTCTTTCGTGTATCTATCTTTGTATTATAAATTTGTTTAATTAATATATATGACCAGGCACTAGTGGCGGTGCTGATCGCCGCCACCATATGGCTGGTCAAGATCATACTGGTCAAGGTGCTCGCCTCGTCGTTCCACGTGGCGACCTACTTTGACCGGATGAAGGAGAGCGTGTTCCAGCACTACGTGCTGGACACGCTCTCGGGGCCACCAATGGACGACGTGGCGTACGAGGTGGCGCACCGCAAGAACATGGGGGCGTCGAAGTCTCTCCCGACGAAGCTAAGGGAGACTAGGGTTTTGTCGAAGAAGTTCGGTACGAGGAAGATCGATATCGAGAAGCTGAGGAAGCTTAGCATGCAGAGCACCGCCTCCGCATGGACGGTGAAAAGGCTTGTGAGCTACGTTAGGTTTTTCGGGTTGACGACGATATCGAAAACCGTCGATCAGTTCGGTGGGACCGAGTCGGAGATCACGAGTGAGTGGGAGGCCAGGAGTTGTGCTAAGAGGATCTTCAAGAATGTAGCTAAACCTGGCGCCAAGTAAGTCATGATTAATTAATTAATTAATTAATTAATTAATTAATTAATTAATTAATTAATTAATTAATTGATTAGTTTCTGTTTATTTCAAACGTGATCTTATGTATTAAAACTATATAATTTGATTAAAAGTTCATTTATTTGTTATGATTTGGTAAAGTAATTTTATAATTGGAATATTATATTGGCTAATTATTGAGTAAAATCCACGTGATTTGTTACCATATCTCAATTAGATTTTATGTATATAATCTATTAATATATAATAATAATAATAATAATAATATATAGCACTTTCATAATTGATCATAATATAATGGACTTATTAGCACATGTGATTTTTGTAGCTTACTTTTGCACGTGCACTTCCTTTTTTCACAAAATGACTATTTACAATGCAAACTCCACTTTCAATTATCCAATAAAAATAAAAACATTCTAAAAAAAATCTAAAATTATAACTAAGAAATCAATTTCTTTTTTAAGTTTCCGATCCCTTCAAATTAGATTACTTTCATTTCAGTCCCTATATTATATTACATAGAAAGTTTTAATTTATATTCAAGAATATTTTCTACATTATTTATTTATTTGTTTTACCCTTTTTCTTATTTTTGTTGATTTAACATGTTTTAATTGTTTTTTTTTTATTAATTGGGAATTTTCATTTTCTGAACATGTGAAGGTTTATTGAGGAAGAAGATCTGATGAGATTCTTGAAAAGAGTTGAAATTCACACTGTATTCCCACTCTTCGAAGGTGCTATCGAAACCGGAAAGATCACCAAATCCGCCTTCCGAAATTGGGTGGTAATCATAAATTAACAATTATTCCATCATTAATTTTCCTTTTGCTAAACTATTAATTATATTATTAATACATATATATCATTAAATTCTTCAAATTTTTTTTTCACTAAGGTGCGCGCTTATTACGAGCGAAAATCACTAGCACACTCGTTAAACGACACGAAAACGGCAGTACAACAACTTCACAAACTAGCGAGTGCGGTTGTGAGCGTGGTAATAGTGGTGGAAACCCTAATGGTGATGGGAGTTGCTTCCACAAAAGTTATAGCTTTCATGATAACTCAGCTCCTTCTTTTAGGGTTTACTTTCCAGAACATGTGCAAGACCGTTTTCGAGTCCATCGTCTTTGTTTTCGTCATGCACCCTTTCGATATAGGCGATCGTTGTGTCATCGACGGAGTCCAGGTAATCAAATTTTTTTATTTATTTTATTTATTTTACGTAAATTTATCGATATTTATATATGTACGAATTAGAGTTTACATACATTTAGTACACAAACCCTAATGCAAAGAGTTTTTTTAACAATTAGAGAAGATACAGGGGTGGGGAATGCAATAAATAATAAACCCGTGCAAAGTACAATTAAACCTCTATAAATTAATACAATTAGGCACTAGGGAAATTCTATTAATTTAGCTAATTATTAAATTATCGAGTTAATAATGTAACACGTTTTTACCGAGTTGGGACCGAGAGAAACTATTATTTAATCAAGATTATTAATTTATCGAGATTCTAGTGTATATTGATGTTATGTGAAATTTGCAATGCAGCTAATTGTGGAAGAGATGAACATATTAACAACGGTGTTCCTTCGATACGACAACGAGAAGATCTACTACCCTAACTCGGTCTTGATCACAAAGCCGATCAGTAACTTCTACAGAAGCCCGGAAATGGGCGACGCAGTCAATTTCACGATCGATCTCTCCACACCGATGGAGACAATAGTTTCACTCAAGAAAGCAATTCAAATGTATGGTTTTTTTTCTTGTCCAAACATGCCCTAAAAACAAAACACATTGTTCTTAAAAGATTGAAGCTAAGTGTACGTTTAAATTGTCGAACTAATGCAGGTACATCGAGAGCAAGCCAAAGTATTGGAATCCAAAGCATTCGGTAATAGTGAAGGAAATCGAGAACGTTGACAAGATGAAGATGGCTTTATGCGTACAACACACAATCAACCATCAAAACTACGGGGACCGAAATGTACGAATAACCGAGCTTCTCTTCGAGCTGAAGAAGATATTCGAAACCCTAAACATCAAGTATCATCTCTTACCTCAAGAGATTCATCTCGCACAATTCAACGGGAGCAATTGGAGGGGCCCGCCATTGCCTTCGTGAAGTATATGTACCGGTATTGCTCCAACAAGAACCTGATATATATACATATATATGTGGCTATTTATCTTGTTTAATTTGAGGAAGAATAACTTCATTGTCATGATGAATTATAGATTTGAAGTAAGGTTTCGATATTATTACAACAAGTTCATAAAATAAAAGCAAGAAAAATACAACAAGTACAATGCTCTTCAGTACTACTTAAGTTCATACAGTATACTATGTCCTTGTACACAGAGATCTGCTACATATGTTCCTCGATGCAATTAAGATGAACGGTTCTGATCGATTAGCCGGTGAACAAGATTCAATCATCGTCAAAGTCAAAGTCAACTTCATCAGCCACTGCCATGTCAGACATGATTTTTGCACTGCAAGAATTCATTTTGACCATTATATGAGTGTGTTTGTGTGTGTGTGAGTGTGTATATATGTAATAAGCACACTTTTATCCAGATAATATCTGTCAAATTAAAGATAATATGAAATCAAAAAGTCGAACGAAAAAGGACTCGTTAACAGATGCATTGAAGTAGTCAAGTTTCGGTATCGTTCTAATACAAAATGAAAAAAGAAGAAGAAAATTTGGGCTTTGAGCATCTCGAGATTTATTCCATGCTATACATGGTGAAATAAACCGATCGAGCAACATTACCGTTAGTAATTACTGCGACATGATAAATATATATATACATATACGTGTACCATTCATAATGCACGTGAAATATTACCACGTGTAGCATAGAATAACGACATACCGTTAGTAATTACTGCGACATGATCGTCCACTGTCGATATAGTAAATCTGAAACGGAACATAAAAAACAAGTCAACAAGACCGAGCCGATTATTAAAGTAAACACCAAACGCGTGTTTGGTTCTAACACGAAAAAGTAGATAATTAATCGACAAAAAATACTATACCTTATCGAAACAAGCCATAAACAAAATCAAGAAACCTCTTAACATACAAAGCCAACACCAACACTGATAGAGCAATAGACACGGTACTCAACCACGCACTCGGAGTTTTCCGGTTATGCCATTGCCTTCGAATTCTGTCCTCGTCGAGTGGATAAAATCTCGGAGCAAACGCAGTTCCATACAATGTGCTACGGTTGCGGACGTTATCGGGAACCCTAATTTTAGTAGCCTGCTTTTTCTCTATACAGACGGAGATGAGTTCGACGCTGTCTTTTAGAGAAAGTACGACGTTTCCATTTGGTAATATTGTCAACGCGTGATAAAGATCCGCACTTTCCCTCATATCAATCGGAAGCCAACTTAATTGTACGACAATTTTCGACCAAGAATCGGCAATTCCGTACTCTTCCATCGTCCATATAGTAATACGTTCGTCAAAATCCGAACGATCGACCAGAGAGAGACGATCGTTGAACACTCTCAATCCCGTGACCCGATCTTCGTAGTACGAAATTCGCGTCAATTCACGAGGCAATCGAATCCCGGGAGTGAATTTCTCTTCCGATAAACCGAGAGTGCGTATCGAAACGACACCGTCACTATCCACGGAAACCCAATGGCAGAATCCCCGGAAAGAAACCCTATTCGACCAACGTGACGACGAAACTAACGGGTCGTCCAAGATTCGCCATTCGTGATCGATCCCGACGGCGAAAATCTTCGCTTGTGAGGGCTTATCGTTGCCCGGGTCGGTGAATCTCACGATTTTGTAGCTTTTGATTTCGGGAACATAATCAATCATATACTTATAGCCATAATTCCACTCTGGACAAACTAATCTGTTTTCTGCAACTTGAACACATTCTTTACAAAATGGGTTGAAAAAATAAATCTTTTCGGTGACGAGGTTAAGTAAAGCTGTCCGCAGCATCAAGAACACCAGCCCATTTCCGGTGCCGGCGAGGTACAGGGTGGAGTTTATTTCTCTTCCGACGTATCGATTGTTTCCGGGCAATTTAGGGTTTATGCGGGTCGCGATTAGATCCCCATTTGGGGCGAATTGAAAAAGGGAGGGGGGATTGGAGATGAAATGTGACTGCTCGGTGAAGACGGTGGTGATCGGCGAATTGGCGGCGTAGTTGGCGGTGAAAGATTGGTCGGAGAGGAGATCGTACCACGATGTGCAGACGCACTTGGAGATGCCGACGTTCTTGCATGGGAGTCTGATGAATATTTCTTGTAATAAATCGGTGGGGAAGCAATCCATGGCCGGAGAATCAAGATTTGATTTTTAATTACAGTGCAGCTGCTGTGAGGGTGAGTGTTTGGCGGCGCTTTGTCGGAAGTGACAGTAGGGTTTTTTCAATATCCAACAAAATAAAATGTTTTATATATTTATTAAAAAAAGAAAGAAAATCTAATTTTTATTGCAATTCTTTTCAAGATTTCATTTTTTTCTTTTCTAATTAATTTTCTTTTTATTGTCTAAAACCCAAATGTAGAGATGGGCAATATGAAAAGGGCACATGACAGTTTGTTTCAATTTTCAATGCTCAAATCGAGATGCAGTCGAATTTCGATAAATTATAAATCTCTGTCGATGAAAAAAAATGCTAAAATATGTATTAAAAAATCAACATTCGAGCTCATTGGTTTTCGGCTAGATTCGTTTAAACTCGACTCATTGCTTATCAAACAAAACTAAAAAACAATTTAATTTGAAAACTCGATAAAAAATGAAGCAAATTCGACCGGTGATGTATTTAACCCGACTAGGTTCATTTACCCCTAATTAGGTATATGAAGAGACTAATTATTACATTATCGTAAATGTAAGCGCTCTCCTACATACGAACACGTAACTCAACCACATCCGTAACAAATATGGTATCTTTATTTTGCCCGTCACGCTACCGTAAATTACTACATTTATTGAAACAAATCATAATTAAACAAAACCAAGAAGCCTCTTGAAAGACAACTTAAGCCTTGATGGAAGAGTAGATACATCTACTCTACTCGACAACACGTTCCGGTTTCTCGTACGGTGCAGCACTCCACTTGTGCTATCCTCTTTGATTCGATAAAATCTCGGCACAAATGCAGTTGCGTTCGTCATTGAGCTACTTTTGTCGGGAATCTCAACTTTAGTCGACTGCTTTCTCTCACTACTGATATAAAAGAATGTCGTGCCGCCCTTTTGAGAAAGTAGAATGTCTTCATTCGGGAAAGCCGTGATTATATGATAATCGCTACGCCTCAACTCCCACGGAAACCCATTAATCGAAAAACACGATATCACGTTTTTCGACCAAGAATCCGCAACTCCATACTCTTCCATTGTCCATATAGTAATTTCACCCCAAACCGAAACATCGATTAGAGAAAAACGATCGTTGTTCAATACCCTCAAATTCATCTTCTCGTGCGAAAGTTGCTTCAATTCACGAGGCTTCGGAATCCCGCTGCATTTCTCATCCAACAAACCAAATGTACATATCCAATCAAGATTAGGGTTTGTCGAAACCCAATGGTGGAAGCCCTTGAACGAGATTCCGTTCGACAAAGGGAACAACAAAGTGAATGGATCTTCCAAGATTCTCCAATCATGATCGACCCCGACGCTTAAAATCTTCGCTCGTAAAACTTGTTGGTTATCATCGTAAACAAATCTCAGGATCTTGTACGTTTCGATTTCGGGAACGTAGCCGATCGTGTACTCGTACCCGAATTCGGCACCCGCTACTTTGTTCTCCACGATTTCGACGCATTCGTCGAAAATCGGGTCGAAAAAGTAAATCTTTTCGATTGTACGATTACGGGAACGAATACGCAACAACAGGAATAGCAAGCCGTTTCGAGTGCCGATGAATTGCAAATCGGAGTTATTTGAATCTAATTTTTCGGCAGGGTAACCGGGTAATTTAGGGTTGATGGGTGTTGGAATCAACCCTCCATTTTGACCTAATTGAAGCAATGAAAATGATTTGGGGTTAAGATGATCGGAGAAGACGGCGGTGAACGGCGAATTAATTGTGTAATTGGCGGTGAAATGTGGGTGAGAGAGGAGATTGTACCATGATCGACAAACGCACTTGGAAACGACGACGTCTTTGCATGGAAGCCTGATGAATATTTCTTGTAATAAATCGGGTGGAATATCCATAGCACCAGAATCAAAGATTCGATTTTTTTTACCGTCGTCCGGTGGTGACTGCTGAGGCGGCGGTGAGGAGAGATGGTGATGATGAAGAAAGTGTATTATAAAGTATGGCTTAATTACACTTTACGTCCTTGAAATATTGTATTTTGACACTTTACACCCTTACAAACAATTAATAGCATTTTGCACCCTCGAGACATAATAAATCATTCACAATGCACCTTAATTTGTCCTTGCCTCCTAGGTGACTGTAATTTGCCCTTCTTTTTACTAACCAGAATTAAAAATTACTTAATTTTTATAAATATTTCAGGATTATTTAAAAAAAATACAAAAATACAAAATTTTCGGAGCTACTCACTACAAAAAAAGATGTTTTAAATAACAAAACAAAGGTAACGATTGGATTATTCGTCACAAGAAATGATTTCTTGTAACGAAAGCCGGATATTGTCACGCAAAACTCAATTTCTGGTAACGAAACGAAAGATTTGTTACGAAAAAAGAATTTTCGTTACAAAAGGTCCAGTTTTCGGTAACAAGAGAAAAACGTAGTTACATAAAATAAATAATCGTTACCAAAAGAATTCTTTTTCGTGACAAAAAAATAACATTCATTACTAATAAGGGGATTTCATCGTTCTCACAAATACGATAGCAAGGGGAAAACCCAAACCCAGCCAAAAATTGCTCCCAGCCCTGACACCTTCCATTGATTTTTTTCGTTTCTTTGCAATTATTTTTCCAAATTTTGAGATCTCTGTCGATTATTTGATTCCCCGTCTCTGTAATTTTCGCAATTAGGTTTCAATTCTGTTCAAGCCAACCTCCGGCGAATCGTCTCAATTAGGTTTCGATTCTGTTCAAACCAAGCTCCGGCGAATTGTCTCCGGCCGCGAACATCTCAAAATCGCCTTCGATCCGCTCCATTACCAGATTAGAACTGGTTTGCTCGAGGTATAATTCCAATCGGCGCGTTGTTTGATTTCTCCGCCTCTTTTCAATTATTTTAAAATTATTTCTCTTCCCTTTTCAATTGTTTTAAAATTTCTGAAGTTCTCGTTGTTTGATTCTCCGTCTCTATAGTTCTTATAATAAGACTCCTGATTAATTGCTTGGTGGTCACAATTCAGTGGAAATCAGTGAGCATACACGACAATTGGACCTCAAACATCTAAAATTTATGTTTCCAGGTTAGGTTTACAGGTTTATTTTATGGTTTAATAATATGTATATATGTACATTCATAGAGATATTCAAATTCGGGATTTATTGTTGAAGGACTTGTCTGGAAAATAAAAAAAATGTTGAAGTTCTCGTTGTTTGATTCGTGTTTCATTTTGGAATTCTGTTATTTATAATCCAGGAACTTGGCGGGGCAACGGCATGTTAAAATTTGTGTGAATTGGTTCGTTCTTTAATGGTATCTTCCGTTGCACCTTAAATGTGTTTGTGTTTTTCTCTTTACAGTTATTTATGGGATAAAAATAGAATTGGTTAGTTCTTTGTATTACAGTACTACATTCTGTTTTCCATCATAAGGGCAATCTGGGTTTTGTATGTTTTACTTGGCATTTTACTCTTAACAGTATAAAGTTTTACTCTCATGTAGGCTTTCATATGCCGTCCATTATACGTGCAAGAGTAACGAAAATGAATCTTTGCATAATTCTGTATTTATATTCCTTTCCCTGGAGCCTATTTTATCTATTGCATGGATTCTGTATTAGTTGATTGTAAAGTTTTGCACGAGTTTGAGCTTTCGTTCGTCTTTTTGTTTGCATTTATATTTCAAATCAATTGCTAATAGAAAAGGAAGTTCTTCTATTATGCTATTACAACATTGTCTCTCAATTGATTAGCCTTTAAGCATTTCTCTGCCATTTCACAACTTGTAACACTAATTGTGTGGTTACTGCAGATTGAGATTATATACAACTTCGGGCTGAGGACAATGACTAAGTAGGGTCATCATCACTGAAAAATAACAAGAGGTCAGTAACTTGGAATTTTACAACTCTTTTCATTGTTTTCGTCTTTGCAAGGACTCAAAAAGGATATAATATTAAACTTGAATTCCAACGGAATAGTCTTGGAAATTTAAATGGATCAACATTGTTATGTGTTTGTTGGGTGATTATGCTTCTTGAGATATAGAATAATGTGCAAATCTTGTTCATCTGCGGTTACTTATTATTTCTATTAGCATTCATTACAGAACATATATATAAAACGGAGTTGATGTGAAGAAATACAAGGTGTACGAGAAGAGACGAAGGAGTTGATTATAATGTAAGTAAATATTGACATTCAATTATATGATCTCATGATAATATACATATTTTCCTAAATTTTATTTTGTTCTATGTATAGCGTTTATTCTTAAAATTGTTCATGTGTCTTGATGATTTAACAACATTAAACCATCTTGTATTTACAGGTTATTGGAGTAAATACGATAGACAGTGCGGTATGAAGTTTTAGAACTTAGCTTGAATTTTGATCATATTAGCCATACACTTTGAAATATATTGCTACATGTCATCTTATTTTACTTTTGAAACTTATATATTTTCTATTGAAAGATGTATTTTTTTTTTTTGCTAGTTGGGATATATTTTTTTTAATTGTATATATGATTTTTGAGCCAATTTATACAACTTTTTTTCAGGTTTACAAGCCATTATCGAAAACTATATGAAAATATAAATATCATAATAATAATAATTATTATTATTATTATTACTTATTGTCATAGTATTTGTGACAAAATTATGATTTATATAAGGCTAAAATAATATAATAATTATGGGCATTTGCGAGGACTAGTTTGTCATAATAAGTATTTGTGACAAATTTTATTACTAAAAATATATATCAAATAATATTCAAAATTTGACTATTGGTAACGAATGTTGTTTTTGTAACGACATAAATAGTATTGGTAAGGATCACGTTGTTACCATAGATTACGATATTGTAACGAACCAACTTTAGTTACCAATGAATTGGTAACGATTACAAAAAACTTGTCACCAAAACTTTTAGCGTCGAGCTTTAGAGGACAATACAAAGGTAACAAATTCGCCGTTACTAAAAGTTTTAGTGACAAAAAAAGCACCTATTGTGACGAATATTTTCCTCACCAGAAGTGCATTTTCTTGTAGTGACTATTGGATCTAGAATCGGAATTTCTTGGATTTTTATATATGATTCCTATTTCGATCCAAGTATTTTATATGTAATTAAACAAACTTGAGTAGTTTTAAGTGTAATTTGATCTAACTTCAAGAGACGACCTAACAGTTGGAGCAAGTGAGTTTGTGCACTGTCAATTGACTCATGTTCAAATCTATTAACAGCGGTCGCTAGGTCGAACTTGTCACACATGGTTACGTGGTTTACGTTTCTCCTATAGTTTGCAAGCTATTATACGAGAATGTAGTTTTACTCAGTGCACCTATATGGTTGGCAGCAGGCTCCTTCCTTAAAAAATATAAGAAAAAAAATTGCTTCAACATGCTAAGATCCATAATATTCGATATGGGCCGGCCCGTTTAAATCTACTGGGCCAGATTTGTGTGGACTATTTTATTCATGTTAAATGTAATTTTATTTTCCCATTAAAAAAAAGAAAAAAAAAAAGTTTGCAACTATGATGAAGCAAAGTTAGGTCATGGAATAGAATATGGCGCCGCCCCACCGTATTATTAAACACCTGCACTTTAGCACTAGCCCTAGGGGTGCAAGTTGGAACGGAATTTCCAATTTCCGCCGGTTCCGATCCGAAAAGTTCCGATTTTGGAACAACTTTTTTCATTCCGACTTCCGAAATTCCGATTTCCGAATTTTTCCGAATTTTTTGGATTGGAATTGGAATTATATAAAATAAATATGGAATTTCCGATTTCCGATCCGATTTAATTCCGAAATTAATTCCGAAAAATTTCGATTTTTTTCCGAAAAATACACCTAAAAATAATATATTTTATAAAATTCTTATTTTCCGAAAAATACACCTATAAGGTTTGTTTTAGGATTTTGACATAATGATTTGTTGTTAGAAGTTTTATTGGATATTATGTTGTGTTTATTTATATTAATTTTTTTGAACTGAAATTTAGTAGTTATTAGTTTTACTTTTATCGACATGGATGTTCTTATTTTTGAAAAATTATGAACATTTTAGAAAATTTCGGCTAAATTTTGAAATTTTAAAGCTTATGTGATTTCCGATTTTTTTCCGAAATTCCGAAATTTCCGGGGCTTTTGGAATTGGAATGAATTTTTAGATTCCGAAAATTTTGGAATTGGAATTGGAATTGATTTTGTACTTCCGAAAGTTTTTGGAAATTTTCCGAAAAGGCTAATTCCGATCCGATCCATCCGACTTTCACCCCTAACTAGCCCTATTTGGATAACGTGGCGCCACTGCAATTACACTTCATTTTCCCACCAAAACACCATTTTTTGGAATTTTCCCAAAATATTTTTTTCAGAATATCCAATTTATAACCACACCAAAATAAATTTAAAACAAAATAAATTTAAAACAAAATAAATAATAATAATAATAAATAAATAAATAAATAAAAACAGTAGGGATAAGATGGAATATTTGGGATGCCACCAAACCCCTCATCTCATGACCTAACTTCATTACAAATACAAACATATAACAAATATATATATTTATTATATAACATAGGATTAAACATTAGTCATAACCACGACATACAAAATTCAACTTAATTTTATTTTATTTAAATATATAAAAAGTCTACATGTAACTTCCTAGTACAAATATTTTTCGTACTACGTTGGTGATGTATAAATAAAGCATTAATTATAGAAGAATTGACCAGTCATGTCAAATTTGCACCCTGTGAATAATTATCATTTAAACTACTATTTAGTTTAATTAATTAATTTAGATAAAATGATTATTTCGTTAGTATATACTTTTCTTGTCTTTTTCACACCAATTTTTCTTTTTTCTTTTTTTATTTAGTTTATATCTTTCCTTCTAAATATATATTTTTTTAGCATGAGCCCATTTATTATTTTATTTTTGGGGGCAAATAATGAGAATATGGGTGGCCATAACCACATGGGATGCTCTAATGGACATGGACATGTCATCATACACATTGTTTTTCTTTTTTCACATATATAATATAACAAGCCAATAATAATCAAATTGCAATTTTGAACTTTCTTTTTTTTTTTTCAATTTGAATTTCAATTGGCCTTTTTTATGGAGTGCCGGTTGACTTTATTGGTTCATAAATTTGTATTTACTTAGTAAAAGGTAGGGGTACAAACGAACCGAGCTCGAGTCTAATTTGATGAGTTTGGACTCTTCGAGTTTGATATTTAAAGCTCGGACTCGCGAGACGGATGCCCATTTATAACGTTATTGTAAAATATATAAAACATAAATACATAACTATTGACCACAAATCAAAATTAATAACAATTTCACATGGTGTAAAATCTTAGCACGAGTATATTGCGATTCTCGTGCAGCTCCCCATTTATAACATTATTGTAGTATCCAGTCCGATAAGATTTAGAGGACTATATATTGTCTTTATTCTAGCATATATATATATATATATATATATATATATATATATATATATATATAATATTAGAGAAAAAGACATGATTAAGAATTAATACTGCCCTTAGTGTAGTATCAAGACCAGATTCAATAATTGTACATGAGCCCATGATCTATATATATCTAGTAGTATGAAACTATTGGTCAATTAATGTTAAAAAAAAAGTCAATATAAATGGCCATACAAACTACTCATAGGGTTGAAGGATTTTCATAATTGTACTTAAATTGATATAATTTCCATATTTAGTATATGGCAAAGTGAATTTTATATCTTCAATATTAGAGGAGTGAAATCAATTAGTTATTCTTCGATTAGAGATCGATTTTATATAAATTAAACGCGTCTATATATTTTTCCTTTGATAAGATATCTAGATACATAAATTACTATTTCAACTTCGTTCATATTTCGATTAAACTCTTTCGAGATTGATCAGAATCTGAAATAAGCTTAAACAATATACATTTCTCACGACTCGATTCACTTAGTACAATTGTACTATAGTCGCAAAAATAGTAAATATCCAAACCACTTATCAATCCACTATCGGTTTATAATATGTTGCACTAGAGTAAAACACACCGAGTAGACCTTTACTATTCATATACATACAAATACACACACCCACATTGATGCGTGTGGATCAACGGTAAAACACACCAGGTAAATTTTTACAATTTATACACACAACACATTAATGTGTGTAGATCAACGGAAAAATTACACCATCGGAGAGAAATAAATAATCTAATTAAAGTAAATAACTAAATAAGTAAAAACAATTCAGTCAATTTTCCCCCAATGCACACACTACATACACAATAAATAAATGGGATAAAAAAAAAGAAAAGTAAAAAAAAACAATTCCCTTGTTGGTGTGGGGGAAAAACTTTTTACAGCTGTGCTTTAACCCTAATTTCTTGCCTGTAAAGCAAAGATTCGGATCTCGCATCAAATTAATTTCATTTTTACCCCCTCACCACCACCATTTATGTATATGCCTCGTTCACCATGACCATCATATACAATACATCATCATCGTCACACCATTATAAAAGTCTGCATACATGCTCGCGGTGGTTACGAGCCCGAAAATATCATCACAATATTAATAATAATAAATCATAATAATTGGGGAGGGGAGTTTAGAGAGAGAAAGTGTGGCATCTCTGGGTTTCTTTTCCTCAGGTTATGCCGTTTCCTCCACCGGTAATATTCTCTCTCTCTCTCTCTCTCTTTTTAATTGCGCTGTGTACATGTTTCTACCGATGTGCGATTTGTAATGTTTGTTTGTTTTTTGGATTTATTGTTTGATTTGAGTAGATCTGCTTTCGGTTTTGTTCGGGGATCTGAGATATGTTCTCTGATGTAATCTAGGGGTTGATTTGTATCGATTTTTTGTTTTTCTGAATCTTAATTAGCTGTGTTGTAGATTGATTTGGATTGTGTTTAGGTTTTTAATTTTGTTTTACTCAATGTTGGAATGATTTGCTTCAGGGTAGAAACTGTGGATTCGTTTCTTGTGTGTGAAGCAGTTATGGTTTAGGAGAAAAGTGAATCTAAAATTGTTAAATCGGGGATGTGAGCTTCGGTTTGTTTCTGCTGTTGTTATATCAACTATTATGGCAATTTTTTTTCCTTCGATATCTGTTGGGATGATATCTGGGAATCATGTGTATTCGGCTTTTGTAGTTGGAGTTTGCGAGCCAGTTTTTCATTATTGTTTATCCTCTAGTGCCTAAGATTCGTCGGCTTGGGATCTTATATTTGTTCTCACATATTAAATGAGGATCTTGTGTATGAATTTGATACGTTTTTGGTGTTTTTTCTGAATAGTATACTGGTGGTCTGGCAGTGATTTTGTTTTGGTTAAGTAAATATGGTTATTGTAAACTATGTTTCTGCTTTTCTGATACTCTCGTATCAAATTATGTGGGTTTACTTGCTTATTTTTCATCATGTATGTTTGAATGCAAACTATTGCTTTATGTCTCTCCCTTATTTGTGCCTCTCATTGTGATTTTTTTCCCTCTATGGTGACAGGTTGTGCACCATTTCAGTTTAAAAAGATTAATTTCATCTAGGACATGGAGCAAGTTTGCCTCTGGTCAGATTGCTACCACCGCCGAGTTTTTTCATTACAGGAACTTCTCGACTGGCGGTTTATCATCCGTAGAGATTCTCTTCTTGTTTCCTTTGTCAATTGCACTTAGTGAACATCTTTTCTTAAGGGATCAACACAGGTGGCTGAATGCTTGTTCCTCCTAAAATAGATGTTGAATCTTTAGTGCCCTTCTGCAAGTTGAGTTGCATACATCTGTATATTCTGGACGTTGGTTATGTTGTTAATCCGGGTACACCTTTGATCTCCTCGCGCAATTCTGTAGTTGATAGTGCATTGTCGATGAAACATCCATTTTCAGATCCTCTGGAATCAATATATTAGGTATTTTATATCCATGCTTCTGGTTATTTGAGTAGATATTATGTTTTAATCATAAAAGTTAACAACCTTAATGTGATTTTGATTTCATTTCCTTTTTTACCCCAGGAGTGAAAAGTCTGCAAGAGCTCAAAGGAAGTTTACCGTGTCATTAAGTATTAGATATAGTTTATAATATCTGTCATCTATTTATGTTCTCCCTTCTGTCAGCCTGTTGATGGTGAGATTCAGTTGACTAAAGATTGTATCAGATTTAGTATCTTCGCATTGGAGACTGATGTTTTGGAGCGTTGTATGGTCATTTCGTTCTCTATTTGGTGGAGCTGAACACTATTAATCACTGTTGATCGGCATCAATATGTTCTACAGTATCTCATTTCCACCACCATGTATTTGTTTCAAAGTCCTTGATTCGGTACTTCATATGAATAAGGCTGTGAATCCGGTCCATCCTCCTGTTGTTTTTGCTTGCCTTGAAGATACAGTGGGATTTTGCATAATTAGCCAGGCCCTTTGATTGTTACTGTTTACAGTTATCTAGAGAATATAAAACTTAATATCTGTGTTTTGCAAATTTTCTTCAAATAAGTAGAGTGCACGGGCTGTTGATCTCGAGAATGGAAAGGTACTTTACTACTTCATGGTTGTTTGTGAGCTGTTCATTCTTGGTGGACTCAGCTGTTTTAATGGCCACTGCAGGTACAAGGTCATTAAGGAAGTCGGTAATGGCACTTTTGGTAGTGTCTGGCGAGCTCTAAGCAAGCAGTCTGGGGAAGTGGTATGTGAGATTTTTGTTGTGAAATCCTCTTTTTCTGTGCTTATACATGAAGCTCTCTTTATATCATGATGTTGAAACCTTGCAAAATTTTCAACCTGATGAATTGCTTGTGCAGGTCGCGATCAAGAAAATGAAGAAGAAATATTACTCATGGGAAGAATGTATAAATCTCAGAGAAGTGAAGGTGACAAACTTTTCCTTCCTGGTTGGTTCTATAAGATTACTTCTTATGCGAGATAAATGACACCATTCTTTTTGGCAGTCACTGAGGAAAATGAACCATCCAAATATAGTGAAGCTGAAGGAAGTTATTAGGGAAAATGATGTCTTGTACTTTGTGTTTGAGTACATGGTATGCATTGCTTCGCTCCCTGTCTATGCTTTGTTGGAAGTGTTCTTCAATATTGAAGCACTTTTTCTGTGTCAATATTTCCAGGACTGCAATCTATACCAGCTTATGAAGGATAGAGGAAAACATTTTTCAGAATCTGAAGTGAGAAACTGGTGCTTTCAAGTATTTCAGGGTCTAGCATACATACAACAACGTGGATACTTCCATCGCGACCTCAAGCCAGGTTATTGCAGTGTTCATTTTTGAAATTTGAGCAAATAATCTAAATACAATTATTCTGCACAGAATCTCATTTATCATTATGTTATGTGTCATTTGTGACTTACTTTAGTTCTGTCAGAAAATTTCTGCCTAGTTAATTTGATGCTTTGGTTAATGTCCTCCGTGTCTCGAGATGCCTTTCTACTATCTTGTCTGAGTTTCCACAATCAATTTTTTCATATCATGTATCAAGAGTATATTAACTTAATCGAGCTTACTTGCATTAGTAATCACTTATTTTGCTCGTATACGATCAGCATGTCTAATGGCACTTTTTTTAATTTTATTTATTTACAGAAAACTTGCTAGTATCAAAGGACATCATAAAACTTGCTGATTTTGGTCTCGCTCGTGAGATCAATTCTAATCCTCCATTTACTGAATACGTCTCAACACGCTGGTGGGTGATTTTTTTCCCCTAACCTTCTGTTTAGTTCAATTTTGTTATTTTCCTAACTTCATACAATGTTTATTTTGCAGGTATCGGGCCCCTGAAGTTCTACTTCAGTCTCCAACATATGGTCCTCCAGTTGGTAAGTTGATAATAAAATCTTTGTTAGAATATTCACTTGATTCGTTTCTTGCGTTATATAAATGTTACTTTTCTTTCAGATATGTGGGCAATGGGTGCAATAATGGCTGAATTGTTCACACTTCGTCCTCTATTTCCGGGTTCAAGGTATAATTATTTTCCTGGGGAGGAGCCTTATTTTTCGATTTCCTTGAATTAGATGTTGATGGATAATATCCCGTTTAATTCACATCTTACCCATGACCTAAAGGTTTTAAACCGTAAATATTTAACACAATGCACTTTGTAAATGGTTTTTTGTCCCCTTCGTTTTTGACAATTTAGAAGGTGTTTGATTGGCCTTTTTATCTTGGTATAGTGAGGCTGATGAGATTTACAAGATATGCAATGTATTAGGCAGTCCAACCAAGAGTGTTTGGTCTGAGGGTCTTGAACTTGCTGGTGCCATCAATTACCAGTTTCCACAAGTGAGTATTCTGTTGTGCTCTAGTATCTATTGATATGTTCTTGACATTTTTCTGAATATATGGTTTCGTAATTCAAATTTTCAAACATACTTTAAAACCTGTAAAGCTTCAACATATTTGATTTAAGAAAAAATCATGCTACTTCTGAATTCTGATGCATCATTTTGAGGCTCTGCTTAAATTTGTTCAATTAATAATGATAAATGCACATCAACTAACAGTTTATTCTCAAGTTTTGCCGATTTCATAATTTATAATATCTGATGGTTGACCATAATCAATATGGTTTGACAGGTCCTAAAAACATAAAAAAGAATTAATTGAAAACTCAGTAAAATCTTCGACAATTTTTATTTAAAAAAAACATCATTTTCACTCATAATGATAAATGCACTGCAAGTCTTCAACTAAGAGTGTATCCCCAAGTTTTGCCAATTTCATTATTTATCATTCTGTTGGTTGACCATAATTTCTTTTCATGAATATTTCTCATGTCTATCTTGATATATATATATCTGTTTGTCTGATGACTTGGCAGGTAGCTGGGGTCCATCTTTCTACGTTGATACCAGGTGTTAGTGAAGATGCAATCAATCTTATCACAGTAAGTAATGCTCAAATTTTCATGCTTCTCTTTATTTCATTTTCCTTTTAATTTATCATGCGTGGATGTAATTTTCTGATGAAAATCTTGGACGGAGCTTTCATCAATCGCCAAACTTATGTGTCCCTTTTTTGTGTTTGTTCCAAAATCTAGTCTCTTTGTTCGTGGGATCCAAGTAAGAGGCCGACAGCCTCAGAGGCCCTACAACACCCCTTCTTCCAGGTAGCTTACTCATTTTGGTTTTAGTAGAAGTCTTACATTAAAATAATGGCACACATCAGACATTTATTAAGGAAAAAAAATGTACATCGTCGCCGAAGATTTCTCAAGTTAACAAATGATATTTTACAATGTTACAGAGTTGCTTTTATGTTCCACCATCTCTACGCTCTAATAAAGCTGCTATTACAAGAACACCTCCTTCTGGTTAGTCTTTGCAATTTCTTCTCTTTATTCTCTGTTGTTCAATAGCATGTGGCCAGATCACTAAGACGTTGAGTTCTTGCAGCTGGAACAAGGGGACTTGCGGAGCAAAACTGTGCTAGAAGATATCCAGGCAGTTTATCTAACCCTAAGCCCACAAACAAATTTTCTCCTGCCAAACCACAGGTGTCCGTGAATGCAGGTATAGAGTTAATGATAAATGTTTGCAGTTGTTGCTGATTGTTTTATCTTTATTTTTTTCTGTAAGTTGTTTTTTGATGCATGTTACGATAGCTAGTGCCCACCAAGGTATGGAAATTCTGTTATTGAAAACATAAATGGTTTATAACGAGAGATGATAATGATAGTGATTTCATTTTATTGGTTTTGGCCTCTATTTAAATCTACTGAAATTGGTTGATCAGATATTGTTTTTATTGTTTGCGTATGTTTAATTCAAACGATGTTTTCGGTATGCATACCTTTTTGGGTGGTACAATTTGTACCAGCACTAGATTGTGAGTTTGACCTATTTCTACTCTCTATAACCAGGTGCACAAAGGAAATTGGAGATGAATAATCAGGTAGGTCGAGATAGTCTTTCTACCTGTGTTAATACGGAATGCTTTTTTACGTGCGTGTGACAATAATTACCGCGGGTTAATTATTCATATGGCATTCTATTTATTCAGCAGGATGTGACTAAAAACGACAAGAACCTGAAAAGCAATGTTAAGCCACAGCCAAGGTATCGACCACCTGGACTAGACGGCCCACGTAAGTATACGTAACTATTAGCTGATCACAATTATGTCATGAATTCAAATCTCTCTCTAGTTATTTTTTCTCACTTCATTGAAAGTTTGTAGATGTGATGTAATTATGATTTGCTCTTTCACGTATAAATCAAGCACCTGAGAATGCATTTAATACTAAAATTGCACTTAATAGTAAAACCTGACTGTGATTACACTTACGATAGCAGCAGCTGGTAATAACTTGGGGAGAAACCGTGGAGTATCTGATGCAGCTGAGAAATTAGCAAACATGAGAATGGGGCCCGCTAGGCCGTTTGCAAAGCCGACTGTGCTGCCACCACCGATGAAAGCGGGAGGATGGCACGGCCAATCTCAAGCGCTTATTGGACGATCGCAAGAAGTTATTCCCGGTAGATCTTATAGCAGGAAGGTGGCTGGATGAACAAGTAATGTCTAATCTCGTTAAGTACTGGAAATAATTCCTGTGTTTTCCAGTTTGTGCCGATAATAGCTCTATATAAATTTGTCTCCCCAATTACGTCTGTTTATTCCCGTATTTTGTTCTCTTTTTTGTCGGGTTTGATTTTAATGTTAGTGAAATATTGTGCTACTTGTTTTGTTAATAGAACATGCCATTACCTATGCAATAAAGCAGTGTTTATTTCTGTTAATTATAATATTTGGAACTTGGATTTTAATGGGATGACGGAGTAGACGAATTTGTTTCCGATTATCCATCGGATGTTTGTTTATTGCTTCGCAAATTAAAATGGTATGTTGGTAATTTTATGCATTTAATTTCCAAGTTTAGTTTCGTTTTACACAAAAGAAATTTCCTGTTGAAGAATCATATATTTTACAGTGTCAACTACAACACTGTAATTTCGAAATTCCGTTACTTATTCTATTTAAATACTCTTATTTCTGACTTAATAACTTATTCAGAATTATATTATACAAATATTTTGTTCAATTTGTGAATTAATTTAGGTTATACAGAATATTTATACATACATACACAATGACACAATAACAAGTCAACTGGTTTTAATGAAGCTAGCAGCACTGAGATTGTTTCATTACAGAACAGCGGGAAAAAAAAACCCGTCTCTACACGAAAATGTCGACAACCATTATCATGTATACCAATTACACCAGAAAATTGAATAAAATGAAGAGAAAAGCAAAAGGCATTAATAAATGTAATTCTCGAGAAAGAAGGTTTAATACCTGAAAAAGCAGAACACGAAAAACCAAAAGCTCTGCCTTAAAAAACCCGTTTCGTTAGATGACGTTGTTATCGAAGTTTTGTTTCGGTCTTGACCCCCAAAATCCGACATCTCAAAACATCCATTTGCAAAACTACTAGCAAAGATATTGAGATTGTATTCTGTCTCTATTAGTCTCCCACCATAGCTTCGCATGCACCTCTCCGAATTTTTCGCGGCTAATATAAACAAACAAACAAATCCATGGGCATTTTAGTAATTTATATCCCCCTTCAAATAAAAAAAAATCGTAAATGTCGAAAGAGTACCTGAATCTGACACGTCGAAGCTCTCTAGTGCCATCAGCAAGTTGTCTGATGGTAATATAAACACCTGGCTCGTCTTCTTCAATCCACTCCGACTCGATATCACTTGCATTGCTTATAGAAACTGAAGCCTCGTCTCTCGATGATGTCGTTGTTCTAGAAGCTTCCATTGATGACATCATATCACCCTTGGGCCCACCGGTGGGGTACCCACTCGATCCACCGTGAAGATTCTCCGGTCGGTACCTTGGAGTCCACTCTTTGTTCATCGATGGAGTCATTCGCGGGCTTTCTCTTGCGGACCCCAGCCTGGAGTAAGTCGAATCTCTCTGTACATAGCAAATTCAAAGAGTTAGTTCAAATTTTTTTCTTTTCTTTTTTTAAAGAAGTATAAAATGAGACAAACGTACGCCATCCTCCGATCTGCCTGGAGTACTATTGAGAGCTTGCTGATTGAATCTCTGGACGTTGTATAGCTCCATTATCCTGTCGTAATTTTCGCCCCACCATCTTTGAGCTTGCCATTTGTCGAACATCTCTCGGCTTCAATTTACGAAATTGAAGTTCATTAATACAAGAAAGCAAGAATTTCTTGAATTTAAGACTCCTACTTATTTGGATACTATTGCAACTATGAGTGGAGGAAGAAAATATCCGATTTTGGAACAAGTTTCTTCATTCCATTTTCCGAAATTCCCATTTTGCATTTTTTTTTACAAAATTTTAGTTTTTCACTTCCGAGAAAAATAGTTTTTTTTTCCAAAAGTGTTGATTCCAATCTGATCCGTCCGATTTCTGCACCTAGTTATAGAGACAACCTCAAGCATGAAATTCGTAGTAATAGAGGTACCTGAAGCGGATTCGTTTGAGGTCATTTCCTCCACGAGGGAGGGACACAAAGGTAATTTGAACACCGGGCTCAACTTGAGCCATCCATTCTTTAGATTCATCTTCATCTTCGAGCACAACTCCACCGTTTTGGGCTGAGCCGCCGCCGCCGCCAAATGCATTGAATCTTGAATCGGGCCGGGCCGAACGGCCCGTGTTCGTAAAATCCCATGCGGGAGTAGAACTCGAGCTACCTGGTTGGATAAACGGGTACGGCACACCCTCCGAGATTGTATCGAAATCAGGGTACCCTCTTTGACCACCTCTCTTGAAGCTTACTTCTGGCTGACTCGGCTTAGCGCTTTTTCCCGATACTTTCAACGCCATATCCTTTATCTGCTCACGAAAATATGATTACATGAATTATTAGGACAGTCTCGAAACGGGATTACATCATATCTATTACATGTTTAGTTAAGGTGCTCGATTTTGGACAGCTTCGTCGGTCCAAGACGGGCTAAGTTAGCGATTTTCGAAGTTTTAATTCCGTTAAAATTTCCAAGAAAAGGGCCCTAAATGTAATGTTTAATTCATAACCAAGACAAATTAGCGAATGCTGAATTTATGTATGATCTATGCTTCCATTCTAACTAATGTAGGACTGCCATTAATGGGATTATGTAAAAAGCTGCTGTCTGAAGCTAATACTTCTGTCTTAAGATTTTTCAACTAGAAATAGACAAGTCCCACAAGAAGCAGAGTTTTTAACATCACAAGAAAAAGCTGCCATATTAGTACTTTTTTAAGCCACCCTACTATTCAAGTATATATATATATATATATATATATATATATATATATATATATTGAGTTTTAGTGAGTAATAGCACATTTGAGGACAGGAATTCAAATGTGGGCCATGTTAAAAGAAGAGTCTTTACCACACATGATGTGCTGTCTTTTCTCAAAGATCAAAGACTTGACCCTCAAAAATCTTCATGTTTCTTTCATTGTAATAAAAACCCAAAACAAAATTCTCTCACAAATCAAGAAAGATTTAAGGATTTAAGGACCAATGACTGTGTTTTCCATTTTAATCTTCTGCTAATAATAAGTTCAAGAAAATTGTGAACTTCAAAACTTTTCAGGACATTGATGAATATATAATAGATTCTTCCTACTAAAAATTTGTCTTGATAACTAATGAGTAATCTTAAATTTGGTCTTAGAATATATAGGTTTATGTAATGGGCCATTGCACTGCTTTTCTGGACTATGATGTGAACTTGTCTCCGATCCCAATGCAATGAAGCCTCACTTATAACCTTATAAAAAGAAGAGAATCATATATATATATATATATATATATATATATATATATATATAGAGAGAGAGAGAGAGAGAGAGAGAGAGAGAGAGAGAGAGAGAGAGAGAGTTGAGTGGCAAAAAAATTTCAGCTAAAGTGTTTTGCTTATAGCAACTTGTTACAGTGGGGGGACCTATATGTATAGCACATCCACAACTCGTGCCCAGAGAAATTCATTAAAATCAAGAATAAGATAAAAAAAAAAAGAAAAAAAAGGTAGGGGTAATTTTGTCAAGTATTTATTTTCCCATAAAATCAAGAAGATTTAATACCTTTATTAATTGGTGATCGTCTACCTTCAAAATATTTTTAGAATAAGAAAAAAAAACTGAGTAGTAAAATTAAGGGCAAATTACGGTCAACCCCTTAAGATAAGTCTAAATTACGAAAATTTTCATTATGTTTGGGTAATTACTACGACCTCCATCAACTATGTATTGTCGATTTTTTCGTAAGAAAATACATAGTTGAGGGGATAGTTGTAATTATCCAAACGATAAGGGTTTTTTTTCGTAATTTGAGCTTATCTTGGGAGGTGACTGTAATATGCCCTAAAATTAATATTAGAATAATAGATTTCACCAAAAAAGGGTAAAATTGTCATTAATTGGGTTCAATGTGCCAATTAATGATATAAAGCATGGATAATGGTCACTTCAATGAACTTTTGGGACATGAAATTTACATGATCAGGTGAGATGTATTAATTACACCTCATATTGAAATGTCAATTTTGTCCCAATATTGAGATGTCACACAAGGGATTTATTTAATTTAATTTAATTATATTATTTAATTGAAATGATGAACATATCATATGGGAAAACTGGAAAAGGGTGGAAATTAAGGGAAGGACCAAAACACAAATAGGGACCATGATTTATACACATGATCCAATGTATATGGCGTGACAATGTTTCTTTCAATATAAGTCCTTTGTCTTTGCTATTCCCTAAATTGTGCCCCACTAAAAAGCTTTATTTGCCTTTTTGTACCACAATTCCCATGACACGGTCATATTCAAAGTTTAGGCAAAAATTCTGTTTCTTTGGTTTTTAGAGAGAGAGAGGAAAAAAATGGAAAAGGAATAGTGTACTTGAATATGACATTCTTTTTGCAATTGTTTTGTTAAATAAAATAAAATACAATAAAATGGAACACATTTGAATTATGTAGAAATGAAGAAAAAAACTTTATTGAATAGAAAACTTCTCATAATTTCATTAATAAAATATAATGAAAAGGACAAATTTGCCCAAACCAAAGCCAGATAACTACTAGAGTTAAAATTCTTTAAATTAATAATACAAACTAGCAAACTTCTATTAATTTAGCAAAATATTAAATTATCGAATTAACAATTTTGTAGGTTTTTATCACATCAGGTCAAGAAAAAAACTA